GCACAGCGTGACGTTGATGGCCCGCGACGGGGGCAGCCCGGCGCTCTGCAGCCGCACCGCGCTGGCGCTGGCGGTGTCGGACGTGAACGAGGAGGCGCCGGCGCTGGAGGAAAGCGCCGACAGCGGACTCGGGGCAGAACGCGTGGCTGTCGTACGAGCTGGCCAAGGCGACGGAGCCGGGGCTCTTCCGCGTGGGGCTGCACAGCGGCGAGGTGCGCACGGCGCGGGCCGTGGCGGAGCGGGACGCGGCCAGGCAGGGACTCGTCGTGCTCGTGAGGGACAGCGGCCAGCCGCCGCGCTCCTCCACCGTCACCCTCAGCCTCGCCCTGCTGGAGGGCTTTTCCGACGCCTTCCTGCAGCTTTCCCACGCTCCTGCGGGCAAACCGGAGGGCGACGGCGACGGCGACGGCGACGAGGAGAACCTGCTAGCCCCCTACCTCGTCGCTTCCTTGTGCTCCGTCTCCTCTCTCTTCCTCTTCGCCGCCGTCGCCTTTTCGGGGGCGAAGCTCTGCAAGGGTCGACTACGAGGAAGGCGTTCACCTGCCTCTGCGCACGGTTACGCCGCTGGCGATGTCTGCAGTAGTTTTGCGGACGTGGCCGGCGCGGGCACTCTGTCGGCGGCTTACGGCTATGAAGTGTGCTTGAGCACCGGCTCGGGGAAGAGCGCGTTGCAGCGCGTTCCTGCGAGCCGTCCTCCCGAGGCCGCCTCTTCCGCAGAGCTGCGCTGAGGCGGGCAAGCACAGGGACGAGGAACTCCTGTCCCACTCCCAGCCGGCTTGTGAAGGGGAACTTAATCAGGTGAGAACAGCCCCTCCGTATGTTTAGTTCCCCGCACCTCCTCGTCCCCTCGCCCCATCACCCCTTCCTTTCTCCTCCCTCCCCCACCGCTCCCCGCCGGATACTTCTTGGAATACCATGACGCCATGGGAGGCGCGTCTACGAGTAAGCCTTCCTGGGACCGAGGGAAAGCCTGATTAGTCCCACCAGGGGAAGAGCCCTTGACAAGTGTTTCGGGTGGAAATGCGAGGGACTGCCTCAGGCAGCCACGTTTGCACAGAGCAGCACATCCCGAGTCATCTCTCTGCGGTCCAGAGCGGCAAAAGACGTAGTGGAGTTAGCAGGCGTGGTGGGGGCATTTGGGATAAACAGCTAACTGTACGGTAATCTGTATGTTCATGCGCTTTGCTTACAGTCCCGGGGAGGGGCTTGTAACTCTCGTCCCCGGGGCAATGGTTCTCTCGGACAGGTTGGAAGAGCAGCGTAGTTCCCGTGCTTTGCCGCAGAACTTTTCTTTTTCTTTCTTTTTCTTTTTCTTTTTCTTTTTCTTTTTCTTTTTCTTTTTCTTTTTCTTTTTCTTTTTCTTTTTCTTTTTCTTTTTCTTTTCCTTTTCCTTTTCCTTTTCCTTTTCCTTTTCCTTTTCCTTTTTCTATTTCTTTCTCTTTTTCTATTTCTTTGCCTTTGCCTTTTGCTTTTGTGTTTCCTCTTTTATTTCCTCTCGCTGTCGATCGAGAGAAGACGACAGTTGCCAGCGTTGGCGTGCGCGGACCGCTGACTAGCCGCAGAGTACTCGGGAGCTGGCGTTCCGGCGTGCGTGGGCGACTACAGCGGGGGCTGCGGGCGTGAATAAGGCCCAGTGAACAAGAGAGGCGGAGGAGGAGCTCGAGACCTGCGTGCGGGGAAGGCCTTGCCGTGTAGCGGGCGCAGGCACAGGGACTCTGCAAAGGCACTGTGTGTCCCCTTTGGCTTTCCGCTCGTGCCGGCCGCGGCCGGGCTCGCCCGGCGGCGCGGCG